GGGGGGGGAGAGTTTTCTGAGAGCTTTTATTTCAAAACACAGACAGATTCTACCAAGTTGGAATTGCTTCTCAGGGAGTCCAGAAGCCAATGGGGGTGTTGGGTTCACGGAGGACCTTGTACCTTGTTACCCAGAAGGAGAGAGAACTTGGATCTTTATGGAGGCCGTGCCCCGAGCTGGTGAATGAGCACAGGGCATCCCTGGAAAGTTTTATTTTTTTTATTTTTATTTTTTTGTCAGTTGTGGGGCTTGAACTCTGGGCCTGGGCGCTGTCCCTCAGCTCTTCAGCTCAAGGCGAGCGCTCTACCACTTGAGCCACAGCGCCACTTCCAGTTTTCTGGTGGTTTATTGGAGATAGGAGTCTCACGGTCTCTCCTGCCCCAGGTGGCTTTGAACCGCGATCCTCAGATCTCAGCCTCCTGAGTAGCTAGGATTACAGGCTCCCTGGAAAGTTTTAAAAAGGGGGCTGCTGGGAAGGTGGCTCAGTGGTAGATCACTTCCTTGCATGCATGAGGCCCTGGGTTTGAGTCAGCACCACATAAGCAGAAGAAAAAACAAAAGACATCCTGGGACCAGGTTGTCCTAGTCACGTGGCCCAGTGGGTCGGACCTAGGCCTCGGTGGTGGGTGGTGGGGTCCCTCCAGACACCTGCTGGCCCTGGGCTCGTCTGGGCTCAGCTCTTGTGGGACAGAAGGGACTGGGGCGGACAGCCAGCTCCCACACCCTCCCTGGAACGATCTGGGCCGCGGCTGGGCTTCTGGGAGGCTAATGCTCGGGCTCTGCATCCATGCAGGACTCCCAGGGGTTCTGGGGCATCCGGGGCAGGGAGAAGAGCAGGAGGGCCAGCCCGCCCAGGAAGAGCAGGACGAAGGCCGCGCAGGCACAGGCGAACGACCACGAATAGTAGTAGTGGATCCACACGGTGTCCTCACTGTCGACCATGCGCTTCACCGACTGCCGCAGGACTTCCACCGACACGAAGATGCAGAGTCCTGGGGACCGAGCGGGGTGGGGGTGGGGAGGGGTCTCAGGGGCTCAGCCCCGCCAAGGCCCAGCCCTGCCCCGCTGCACAGGTGGCCCCCTTTCCTCATCCTGTCCCCCATCCCACGGGACGGTGGCCAGGGAGGGACGGGGTTCTGTCCCTAACTGCTCTCTAGGGATTTCCTCTGTGTCCCCGGGCGTCATTGTGCAAAATGGACAACCCAGCAGGACGTCAACACTTCTGCCGCCCGGCCCGGCTGGAGTCAGGTTTTGTCCAGCACAGAGCCCAGCAAGTGGAGACTGGGGACCCCCGGCCCCCCAACTTCCCGGCCAGCCCACCCGCACGGCCCGGCCTACCTGCGAAGGCGTAGAACATGGAGGCCGGCCGCAGCAGGTAATCCCGCTTCTTCCCGAAGGACAGCAGCGCGCAGACCGTGCCCACGATGGCGAAGCCCAGGCTGAAGATGGCGATGGCCGCCGCGGAGATGCTGTACTCTGAAAAACACATCCCCGGGGCCAGGCTGGCGGTGACAGGGCCGCGTCCTTGATGCTGTGTCGCGCCCTACTGAGAGGCCACGCACGCACTCACTGAGTCACCCCTCGGAAGAGGCCACAGGGTTCCATTACCATCACCGCGGTCCCCACCATCCCCACCACCATCACCACCA